AAATGTTTGTAGTAATAGAAGAGACTTCAATCTTCAAATTCCACACATTTTTAACGTGAAATAAACATAATACTGAATAGCAGCACTTGAAAAATGCCAAATTCGAATTTGCACAAAGTAGCCCCGAATGACGGTACCTAGTTTTTGGTGCTCCTATACAGACAGAAACACGGTAAATTTTACCATCCTCTTTTTCTCAGAGTTACAATTCCCCATCCATTAAATTAAAACTTTAAAAGTGCAAACACTGTGACTCAAACAGTTCAAATGAGAGTTTCGGATTTTTAGATTGCGCCAAAAAGGAATGTTTGTGGGCAAAAAGTCAAGGCAAGGCATAATCATTTTCTTTTCTTTTTATTGTCAACATAATAACTTTAAAGCTTAATTTTTTGAAATGTAACTTATAACTTTTACTTTCTCTGTAACCTAAAAAAGAAATTAAAGTACGGCAAAATATATCGATGGATAAACAAAAGCAGGAAAATAAATTTATTTTGATAAACAATGACTTCCATAACTGCAGTAAAATTGCAGTGTTTGGAGGGGGGACATGTTTGAAGGGAGAGAATACGCCATTTCTCAGAATCAAAACGTGAATGAATAAAATGATGAAACAAATGACATTGCTTTCAACAGATTTTTTTTTATTCCAAAAGCAATTGACTTTACATCATTGGCCCCCATGCATCGAAGATGCATGAGATTGGAGCATATAAAACAAAAACTGAGCCATTGAACAATACAAGAACAATATAATAACAAGAACAATAAATACTTGAAAAACATGAACCACTTAAACATGAAACAGAATCAGTCACTGGATACCAATTGCATCAACTCCCTAGCTCGCCAATATCGACTGAATAAATCTTCTTCATTTAATGAAGAACAACTGAGCAAATGATCTTTGTCCATCTCAAAGTTCTGGTTGCACAAAGTGCACATAGGACTGCCAAATATACCAATTCTGTATAGATGTTTAGCAAGGCAGTCATGTCCAGTCTCCAGACGGAACGCCGCCACTGCAGTGGATCTAGGGGAGTTTGGAATTTTATTAATTAAATACCTCCATTTCTTATTCTTGATTTCTTCTACTAAATTAGCATCATAGCTTTTCTTCGCAATATTTTTTATAAATCTTTTAATTGATGAAAATGGTACTTTGGCATTACCTGCCTGCAAAATCTCTGTTCCCTTCTTTGCTAATGTATCAGCCCATTCGTTACCATTTATTCCTACATGAGATGGAATCCACTGCAGAACAACAGTCCTTCCCTCAGAAGCTAGGAGTTCTACTAGGAGGAGGACAACAGATTAAAGGTGCATATTTTAAAAAATAGGAGTAAAACAGGAATCTAAACTTTAAACTCTAACAACAATTAAATTTAAATTTAATTTACAGTGAAAATTTTAGAGTAAATCGCAATTCGCTTTAGCTGAAGGAATTAACTTGAATATTGTAAAAGTTTACTTTAAATGCCTTAAAAAACTTTTTTTCTATTCAAAAGAAAACATTTTAAATATTTATGATAAATTCCTGAACTGTCTAACTAATCTTAACTAAGCCAAAGTAATACCCCCTAAAAAAACTCCTGTACGTCAATTATTTTTAAAATTGATTACACGAGAGAAATAAATTATTTTAATTTTAGAATCGGCTTTAAAAGTAACGCAAATATCAGTTTTCAACATGAATAAATATTCAAAGAGTTTTTCTTTTAATTTCTGGTCTATGCAATGCGTAAAGCACCTTACCGCTGTTAATTAACCGTAAAAACATGGTTCCCAGTAGAATTCCGAGGTCAAGCATCACTGGCTGTGGTCAGTAAGACAGTGGGTGACCACTCTGAACAGCCTACTTAAAGGAAACTAGGGAAGTGTGACTCGCCAATTTTGAAATAAATTAGTGGAATGTATGCCTTATGAGGAATAA